CCCCCACCCCCGCCCGCCGCCGCCGGGGGCCCAGCCCCTAGGACTCACACGGCAGGCGGATACTACCAGTCGGCATTAGCCAAACTGTTGGCGGAAGCTTGCACAGAGACCTCCTGCACTGTACCTGGCTCCAGCCAGTGGTACCAGATCAACAGAGGAGAGGGATAGCTCAGTGGTTTGCACGCTTGCTTGCTAAACCCAGCGTTGTGAGTTCAATCCTTGAAAGGACCATTGAGGGATCTCAGGCAAATCTGTGGGGGGTGGTATTTGGTCCTGCTATGAGGGCAGGGGACTAGACTCAATGACCTCTCAAGGTCCCTTCCAGCTCTATGAGATTGATATATCTCCATAACAGTACAAGACACACTAAATTCACTCATGATCTTAACCAAATGAGGAAGATTTAGAAGTTGCCGCCTTACCTTCATTCTCACAAAGAAAGGATCCTCTTCTGTTTCCACTAGGTAGAACATACAAGCATTTTTGCAGGCCTCTTTCACAACACTTTTCAGTCGGTAGTGTAGAGTGTTGCATAGATCACTGATCATGTGCTCATAGGAGGTGGTTCGTTTGGGGAAAGAGGTACATTTTTTCCTTTTGCCAGCAGGCTCCTCTGAGGTAGTGCTCGGACCTCTTCCTTTGTTACCCGCATGTACACTGTTCAGCATCGCGCTGGGGAACTCGGCATATTCGTTCAGAATGACCGAAATATCCCCCCGGGATTCTTTTAGCTTATCGTCATATTTTAACTTACTGAGGTGCAAAGGAAGAGCATAGTCATGGCCCTGCCTTTTGACTCTGGCAGCGCTGCGTTCGTTGCGAAATGTATCCCGCCATGGGACGCAGGGCGGAGGCTCAGCAAAACCCGCGTAGCTGTCGCCTCTTGGGTGCCAACGGGGACCATGCTGCCTTGTATCCGAACGCACCACCGTTACCAAAAGGGGGCTCCTACTCCTGGATGGTGCATTTAGACTAGATATGTCAGGGGCCTCTCTCAGGGGCAAAGTCTCAGCCGTTAGCTGGGGAGAAAACTTGTTTGGAAAGATACTGCTGGAGGTAGAAAGTCGTGATTTCTGGCTCTTTATTACTTGTTTTAGCTTATAACTGAAGCGCAGACATTCCATGTCTAAAGTGTTCTGGGTAAGATCATCGATAACCTTCCAGGTCCTAGTCAAGGAGCTTATTAAATCAGAGCGTTCCACAGAATGGCCAGGCCTCTTTGAAGAGTGTAACCTTCTAGTTTTGTCTTTGTGTTTTTTGGTAACAGTAAAGTTTCTATAATCCCGTGGGGTGCCCTGATCGTCTTTAATATTGACAAAAGGTGGCACGTATCTATCATCATCCCTAAATCCCACACACCAACCTGACTCTACAAGGGAAAATCTTTTGGCGCCCCACTCACCACGCTTACTGTTTTCGTATTCTGAGCGTATACACGACCAATCGTAATTAGTCCTGGTGGTGGTTGTTGCATGGATCACATCAATGGCTCTTGTGCTCCAAGACCCCTGACATTTAGCTGTGGGATGTGTAATCTCTCCAAAGTACTCCTGCTCAGAGTCTCCAGAAAAAGACTCATAGGATAAATTTTCAAAGGTCAAATGTCCACCTCTATCGTGGTGAGGGAATGGTGTACCTAGGTTGGGCAAATGTTCCTTCAAAATACTGTCAGTATCACTAAGTTCTAGAGCCTCTCTAGAGTCTGCGTGTACACATGATGCTGTAGGCATGCCAAGAGAGGAAACATGAATTTCTTCCCTAGTGCCCGATGCATCAGTTTGATGCAAATCAACAAACATATTAGAGTCTTCTGTCTTATAATCACTCTGCCGTTCTGTGAGTTCATAAACTGAGCTCCGGTCGCATGCTTGTGTGAACTGTTCCTCCTCTTCTTCTGGGATAGACCCAGTGCTCGCAGCAGGGCTAGTGCTTCCTGGATCAAATTCCTCACAGGACGTGGGCTCTTTGTCATCCGTCTCTGGTAAGTCTGCTACTTTACTGGCAGGGATGTCCTGTTCTAAACACATATCTGGTTTTGCCTGTTCTGTGTAACAGGAACCTGCCTCGTCTTCCGCAGCAGAAGATGCTACCTCCATCACCTCTAGTTGATCCGCGTGGGCAGAATTCATACTTCTGGAAAAATCGGAATCCTCCTCACTTTGCTTTAATGCATTTTTTTGCACCTCTGCCTCTGTGCTGATGGGGATACAATGTGGCTGAAAAGCAACACCCGTCAACAGTTCCGGGTTGGCGGGTTTGTTCGCAGGAGAAATCTCTTCCTCGCTCTCCAGTAAATCTGCCATTTTGACGACAGAGATTTCACGTTCTAGACATTTGTCTTTCTTTGGTTGCTCGGTATCACAAGAACTTGAGGAACCATCCCCAGCAGACAAGGCTGTTTGACCCTCAGAGATGGCATGTACTTTCAATTCATCTCTTTGATCAGTGTGGTCAGAATTTGTATTTTTGCAAAGCGCCGGATCGTGCTCATTTGGCTCTAATGTACTTCTGTGTGGTTCAGTCTCTCTGCTAATAGGCTGGCTATGTTCCTGAAAAGGAGTACCAACTAGCCCTCCTGGGTCAGCATGCGTGGGCTTATCAGCTGGACTTGTCTCTTCCTCACTCAAAACAGGACTGTGCGGATACTGATGGTTTACCCAGTTCATCTGTTTCAAGTCCAAATGTTCGTTAGCGAAAAATTTTTCATTATCCATTGATAAGGTACAAGCTGGTGTTACCAATTGGCAAAGAGAGGTTTCATCTTCTTCGTGTGTCGTGACCATAGTTACCTGGTTTAACTCATCATTACATGGTGACTTTTTAGCAAAAGAACAGACGCCGGTAATCTGAAAATTGTCACAGCTCTTCTCAGCCGCACAGTTCGCTTCCAATTGAGTATTTTCAAAGACTAAGCACGGGATTTCGTTTGCTCCTGCAGCTTTGGTCAGCAGCTCTACCGTGTCAGTAGAAGAGCTTGTTTGCTCTCCTTGGGGCGCTGTATGGCTTTGCACTTGATCTGATTCTTCAATCCTCAGAGAAGTGTCATCAGCAGAACCAGTTCCTCGGTCTTCCTGAGAAACATGGCTGTCTTCTACGGAGTCACTTTGTGCCAAGGACTTCATTTCTTCAGCTGGTTGGACAATGGCCTCTTGGTTCTCTGGAAGCGCATCTGCAGACGGTGTGATTTCATCAGAAGGTACTTCCCGGACAGGACTTGCCCCAGGTGATAAAGTTAATTCACAATCAGAGGGTGGCTTCAAGTCAACTGGACTGGTTGCATTGCTTTCTTCGGAGAGGCAAGTTTCTGTAGGAAATACTAAAGTGATTGGATCCAGATCTGTATCTTCTTGTTCCAAATCTGCATCATGAGTTTCTGCAGCTGATTTGTCAGTGACCTCTGGGTTCTCTGGAAGTGAGTCTGGAGACGGTGTGATTTCATCAGAAGGTACTTCGTTGGCAGGACTTGAACCAGGTGATAATGTTAGAGTTAATATGCTATCAAAGGGTTCCTCTGAGTCCACAGGACTGGTTGCTTTGCTCTCTTCAGGTAGGCAAGTTTCCTTGAGCAGTTCTAAACTGGTTGGCTCTTGGTCCATATCTTCATGTTCCAGATCAGCATCATTGCTTTCAGAAAGTGCTAAATCAATAGGTTCTACATTTATACCTTCATAATCAAAATCCTCCTCCTCGTTCTCTTTTTCCTCCTCCTCCTCCTCCTCTCCTCCTTGATTTTCTAATGGATCATATGATTCACTCTCTTTTCCACAGGGGCTATCCTGTTTTGTGCTCTTTGTATTCACTTCTAACTGTACCGCTTCACAAAGACGTAGTGATTCCTCCCCATCAGCATGACAACTGGCTTTATGCTCTGGAGAGAGAGTCATGTTGTCCAATCCCTTTCTTTCCTCGGGAATGACAGTACCATCGTTAATAATCACAGGCTGTTCATCTTCCTGCTTCTTCGGAAATCCAATCTGGGAAAATGCAGTCTTGCTCTGTGAAACTTTACTTAAATCAAGAGCATGACATGTTTCCTCTGAGACATCAAAGGAAAGTTCTTCAGGTCTTATCTTTGTATTGTTGGGTTTACCAGAAGGGTCGTAGGCAGAGCTACTGATAGAAATTACAGGCTCCGGCAATTCCTCTCTTTCACTGTCCTCTTCATCGACCTGAAATTAGAAATTTCAACACGTAGCTATTGAGAGAGACGAATGTCGGAAACAAAAGATCTCTGCAACTTTTTTAATCCTCAACCTTTCATGAGTCAACCTGTTAGTACAAACCTAGGAAAATGAATTTAAATTCCCATCCCAAGTATTTGACTGCCAAATTCTGTCCTCAAAATAGACAAGTGAGCCCATTTCATGTCCTCCATCCTTCCAATTCCTCCTCAAGATCTGCTTCTGTGATACTTATGGGATACTGGCAGCTAACAGCAGCTAGGGAGATGCCAGGTAGGAACCCCTCATTTTCTGTTTTGTTTATTTGTATCTTATTTTTTTTAAAACTGCCTTGAAACCAAATCATGGCGCGCACAGCGAATCTAACCTCACGCTCTCATCTCTACTACCTTTGTCTTCCCTTTCCGATTTTACCCTCGCTTACTGTGTCTTGCCTTGAATTAGACTGCAAGTTCTTTAGAGCCTGGAACTACCTCTGATATTTGTACAAGGAAGAACACAATTTCCTGACCCTAATTATAGCCTCTGGGCACTATCACAGTACAAGTAATAAAGAAATCAACACTGGTCATGCTCATCTGAGGGCTTGTCCGTGTGGGGCTTGTTTACCTGGGGAGGTGATGGGCTCTCCAGGGAAGAGATCTCTAAAAGCGCACTAATGTGTTGTACGTGAATTGATCTGTGTACCTGCCGGTGGGCTTTGATGGTATATTGTTTCAATCAGCACTACGTTAAAGTGCACCAGCAGGGTCTAGATCAGCGATGATACCTGCCGGTGGGCTTTGATGGTATATCGTTTCAACCAGCACTACGTTAAAGTGCACCAGTAGGGTCTAGATCAGCGATGGGCAACCAAGACTAAGCATGTAAAATATCAATGAATTGGCTAATCAAATAGTCGATACAATTTGCATTGACTATTCGATTAGTCGATAAGGGCGCCTCTTCCTTTGAAGTGTAGCAACAGCCTCAGGGGCTGTGGGGAGCATGGGGTCAGCGGTGGGACTCAAGCAGCCCCTGTTGGCCCCGCGCTCCTGCGGTGTTTCAAAGCAGCAGAGCCGCATGGAGCCCGGTGTCACCAAGGGAGTTCCCAGCTGACCCCGCGCTCCACGCAGTGCTGCCGCTTTGAAGCACCCCCTCGTCACCAGGGGAGTCCCCAGCTGCCCCCGCCCTCCACGCAGCGCTGCCGCTTTGAAGCACCCCCTCAACCTCCCTCCCCGCCCCCGCTGCCTTTTTCTGATAGAGGCAGCAAGGAGGGGGTAAACGACTAGTCGACTAGCGTGTTGACTTTCTAATTATCGGATCGTCGACTAGTCAACTAATTGGTCACATCCCTAACCAAGACTACTGAGTGGACCATATGAGTGGGCTGTCTTTGTCTCAGTGGGCTGCATGATTCCAGTGACGGGCAACCTGCAGTCCATGCACCCCCTGTCTGCCCCGCTCCCCCACACCTGTCTCGCGCACCAGGGCACCGGAGCCCTGTACTGCTGACTTCTCTCCCTCCCTCACAGCACTTTTGGAGCACCCTGAATCTGCTGATTCGTGCACCGCCCCCGCTCTGCCTCCTCCTTCCCAGAGCTGGAATAGCCACATAGGGGAGGGAGGCAGACAGGGGGCGTGCAGGCTCCGGGTTGCCCACCACAGGTCTAGATGGACCAGTTAGCATGCACCATGTTTGTGTGCTTTAGAAATCGCTCCCCTGAAGAGCCCATTATCCCACCAGTCAACGAGCCCAAGGGGGCACAAGAAGTACCACGTTAAAGCCCAATCTGCACGTGCCGTAATATGTAACTAACATGCGACTTTGCGTGCTCCTCCCGCTCTCCACGATTGGCCATGGGGAAGGGAAGTGGCAGGGTGTCCACAGACCAGATCCACCCGCTTAGCTCCTACTGCCCTGCAAGGAGGCAAGTGCCCAGAGGGAACCGGTAGCTGTTCAGAATGTCTGGCAGTCTTCTCTAGGTGTGGGGAGGGGGGAAAGGGGCAAAGACTTCACATGCTCCCCCACACCCACGCCAATCAGGGAGCACGGAAGTGTCCTGGCCCCACCCCTCTTGCCAGAGGCACCACCCCTTCTATGGCGGCCTGGGGCCACTTCAAAAATTACTGAAGTGGTCCCCCCGTCTAAAATTATTGCCCATCCCTGACAGGTGTCTGTCTAACCTGCTCTTAAGTATCTCCAGAGATGGGGATTCCACAATCTCCCTGGGCAATTTATTCCAGTGTTTAACCACCCTGACAGGAAGTTTTTCCTAATGTCCAACCTAAACCTCCCTTGCTGCAGTTTAAGCCCATTGCTTCTTGTTCTATCCTCAGAGGCTAAGGAGAACAATTTTTCTCCCTCCTCCTTGTGACACTCTTTTAGCTACTTGAAAGCTGCTCTAATATCCCCTCTCGGTCTTCTCCTTTCCTAACTAACAAGCCCAATTCTTTCAGGCTATGTCTACACTTGCGGCTTCTTGCGCAAGAACATCTTGCGCAAGAGTTCTTGTGCAAGAACTCTTACGCAAGAAAATGTCCACACTGCCATGGCAGTGTGGACGCTTTCTTACGCAAGAAAGCTCTGGTGGCCATTTTAGCCATAGGGCTTTCTTGCGCAAGAAATCCCTGCTGAGCGTCCACACTTCCCTCTTGCACAAGAGCTCTTGCACAAGAGGGCTTACACTTGTCAAAAAAGAGCGTAGCTCTTGCGCAAGGAGCCCTCTCTTTCCACGCCGTACTGTAAATTGACTTGCGCAAGAGCGGGCGGGCAGTGTGGACGCTCTGCAGATTCTTGTGCAAGAACGGCTGTACTTGCGCAAGAAGCCGCGAGTGTAGACATAGCCTCAGTCTTCCCTCATAGCTCATGTCTTCTAGACCTTTCATCATCTGGCTACTTCCCTCTCCATCAAAAGATTCAATTCCTCCCAGTTCCCATTTCAATGGGCCCCGCAGAAGAAGCCAGGGCCGCTGGAGGGGGAAACAAGGCCCTCTTGCACCCCGTTTTTACATTACTTCAGTATGGATCTTAGAGGCAGGTGTTTGTTACAAAGGCTCCATGTACCCTCCAAGTGCTGTCGTATTTCCTAAATAGCTACACCCCCTGTAATCCGGGCTCTTACCTTACTGAATGAATGGACAATATCTACACATCCATCAACAATAACCTCCTGGGGCCCGTCTTTCAAAGGAGGGCTGCTGGTGTCATCGTAGTCAGCGTCTCTATAGGACTTTATGCAACTCGTGGATGATGGTTCATCACAAGAAAGCAACTTCTCAGAGGCAGACGACACCGTGCTTTGGACACTGCTGGAAATCTGATTGCACTGGGAATCGACAGGACTTTTTTCCAAGCCAGAAGATCCTTCACAGTCATCGCTTAGTTCCGAAGGATCCGCCGTCTGGCTGGAAGTCTGGTTGGCCTCAGATTGAGAGTCGGCAAGGCACTTTTCTAGCTCAAAAGAGCTTTCGCAATCATCGCTCAATTCCAAAGCATCCAGACTACTGTTTATCGAGACATACTTTTCGGGGTTACTGTGTTCTACCACCTTTCTCGTAGTTCTTAGGAATTTGCTAGGTTTGCTGTAAAACAGAGCTACCCACATGTGAAGAATAAGCTTCATTTCTTCCACATCATCGGGCATATCTGGATCCCAAGGCCTGGGGGGAAAAATAAATGCACTTAATTGCTGTCGCTGGTTGTGCAAGACTAATGCATATCAGCTCAATGGATTCAAATAGAGGGAGCTGTTAGCAGAGGTCTCAATTATAAACTAAGTGGCTGGTTGTTTTTGTTTTTCCTTGTCTGAAAAAAGGTGGAATGTAGCCATAAATCAGTGGCTTCTGTTTTGGATTTTCAGTTCACTGGAGCAGGGGGAAAGCTCTCCGGGGCTTCTGGCCTCGGCAGGGAGCTCCACACCCAGAGTCCAGTCTGCAGCCCAAACCAGGTGACAGCCCGGCTTGGAGCAGAGACCTGGCAGAAGTCCGGCTGGGGAGCTAGAACCTGGCTTCCTTGTAAGTTTCATAGCCCCAGTGGAGTCATGAAATTGACAAGCCAGCCAGCAGCAGT